CCCGTAAAGATTTACACCCTTGGAAACCCTGTACAGGGTCGCTATGGGTCGGACCCGACTCGATGGCACTTAACAACAACAACAACAACAACAATGGGTTAATGCACCAGACTGAAAAGTTGTTTGAACTGCAAGGTCGGCAGTGCACACTCACCAGCTGCTCCTTGAAAACCAAGGGTCACTATGGGTTAGCACCAACTTGAAGGCACTTAACAGCAACAACATAAAGATCTAGAATTTTAGAGCTTGAGAAAGGTAGAAATGTCAATGCTTGTACAAACTTCCCACTCTCTCCACTGTCATAAAATAGGATACTTACTGAAGTATCAAATGTTTTTAGGAAACAGAAAAGCCAGAGAATAGAATTTAGTCTCTATGGGTTTTCACTGGACAACAAAATTCTTCTTCAATTCACTTAAGAGCCTTGAAAATATTCAAGAGCCTACTGCAATCTTGGTTGATCTATTATCTAAAAATTCCTGGCCAGATACATCATTCAAGTGTAAATGGAACTTCTCCCAGAGCTTGAGGAGTGACACTAAACGCTAATTGCTCCACCATCTCCTATTGTGAAGGTTTCTTTTTAGTGTTTCTTTGGTGTGGTGCTGTAGGATAATGCATTGGACTGCAAGGTCAGTTTGAGCCTCAAGGTAGGCGGTTCAAATCCACCAGCCTCTCCTTGGAAACCCTTTAAAGGGTCGCTATGAGTCAGAACTGACTCGACAGCATAAACAACAAACAACAACAAGTACTAATTTGTGTGGAGATGTAAGAAAATTAATGTATTATCTTCAAAGGAAAAAAAATATTAAATAGCTTTTACAAAAGGATTATATTTTCACAAAAATTCATAAAACTGAATACCCTAACTCCAATTCCAACTAAGTAATAAAGTTTAAGAGGCACAGTTTGTAAATTCAAATAAAATAGTTTAAATAGCATAGACTGCATTCTAAAAACATTGTGGTTGACTTACTAGCAAGATGACAGAAGAGCAAAGTGGTTCGTAAAAACCATCTACCTACAAATTAAAGAACACACTCTCTAAACAACTGTTTGCCTTACTATAGACAGGGCCAAGACCCTAGACTGCTTAGATGAACTGGTAACTTTTTGGTAAGCACAAAGAACATCTCTGGTTTTTAGGTCTTTGTCTATTTACATTCTAAGTTGTTTATAGCATCATAGTATCTAAGCAACTCTTGTACTGTCTCAAATCACACTTCTGTATCCATATATTTATTTAAATGACTACCAGACTGTTGGGAGGTTTCAGAAAGTCACATAACACATAAAGAGTGCTGGACTGACTTGAGAGGAGTAAATTTCTTTTCTTTCCTCCCTTCTCCAAACCTATTTTTCTTCATCATTTAGTTATTATGTACTTCAATGTTTCTCTGTTTTGCTTTTCTCAGTTTTCTCTTTAGCACGCTAAAATTCCTCAGAGGGGCAATCATTTGGTGTTTTCCCAGAGTTAACTAAAGCCATTTGAACTGCAAGGTCGGCGGTTCAAGCTCACCAGATGCTCCTCGAAAACCCTATACTATACAGGGTCGCTATGGGTTGGAACCAACATGAAAGCACTTCACAACAACATCATATATACACAATTCATGGTTTACAGTCAAGAACATTACTCAAGTCATATGCTTATGTAAGCTTCCTTCCTTCAGTATTGATGAAAACAGACTTATCTGTAGCCATAGGTATGGTGCATGTTTCCTTTCTGCTCCGTGAATTTCCAAGTGTTATGACTAGAAGAGAGGGTACTTACATCTGCATCAGAATCTGGGTTAGCTTCTTGGGGCCTTTGTTCTTGAGGTACATGTCCATTATTTGTGTCTTCTTCTGCTTCATCCTGATGCTGGTTATCTCTGTCATAGGCTAGCAAAGCAAAGAAACTAAAATCAATCAGATTCAAATGACACAAGCCAGGATCTTCCTTCCAACTCAAAAAAACTCCACCAGGGCTATTTCTCAGAGACAATTCTCCCTGGTTTCTTCTCTATGGAGGCTAACTCAACTTAGGGCATTCTGTTCTCAGCTCTGCTGAATAAAGTTATGCCCTTTTTCCAGACTTTGAGTCTAAAAGTATGATAGTATGGGTGAGTGACACCATTGTAACCCTCCAAGACAAAGTCAATAACAGAGATTACATTTCTTTGACCACTACTGTGTAAAAAGCAAAAACAATATGAGATTTTCTTGATAAAAGAAAGCTCAATTAGTTGGACATTGCTAAAATTGTCAACTAAATTTTGGTAATATCAGAGGAAATAGCAAAGTATTAAAAGAAGAAACTGATCATGTTTCAGGCAATGAAAGAAGAACACCCCCATCAGCAGAGCTCAAAACTGAATGGGACCCATCCTGGGTTCTCTGATGCAGAAATAATGAGGACAGACATACACTACACATTTACACTCGCACAGATATTATATTGCATCTTTTCTTTTAAAAAAGGAATGTTTAGCTAAGTAGAATTTTAAGAGTATAAAGAGAGAAGAACAAATAACTTCCTAAAATAAATGAAACGTTAAAAGGAAAGGTTAAAATATGTAGAGAGTACTAAACCTGTAGACAATAAACATGCAAGGTCACTCGTCAACAGTTTCAAGTGCACAGAAGTATTTGTTAAATGAGGAAGGGAATAAGCTATCCTCTACTTTTACTGGTAATGGAACAAAACAGCTGAAAGTGCGGAGTGGAGGGCATAAGGAAAACTTTTGGACCATAAATTTAAAAAACCAAATCCAATGTCTCTGAGTTAATTCTAACTCATAACAACTCAAAGGCAGACTAGAACTGCCATTTGTTGGAAATCATAGGTTGTAATCTTTATGGAAGCTGACTGCCACATCTTTCTTCCATAAATCAGCTGATGGATTCAAACCATTGACCTTTGAATGGCAGTCAAGCACTTAACCACTGTGCCACCATGACCCCTGCCTTTCAGTATTGTTATGTTGTTGCTGACTGCCGTTTCAGTGTTTGTTTTTGTTGTTAAATACCTTTGAGTAGTGTCAGTTCTGAATCATAGCAGCCCTGTTTATGGTTTCCAAGGAGCAGCTGGTGGGTTTGAACTGCCAACCTTGTGGTTTACAGTCCAGTGCTGATCCTACAGTGCCACACCAGCTCAGGCTATACACTGCCAGAGCAAGCTATTAAGGAATTTGTGTCATCATTGTATTTTAGACTCTTTACAAAAGGATGAATAAGTAAGTGTGAGTGTTTTGCCACAAAGACAGTTTCTTTCTAGTTCTAATAATATAGTACGTAATAGCTGACACATGGCATACTAGATGTTCACCATAAATGCAAGTTACTATTGATTTCAGTTGAAACATTTTAAGATAAGATTTCCAAGGGAAGAAAAAAATGTAGAGGTTTCCTATATCCTAGAAGTCCTGATAATTTGTCAGCAATAATGAGACACAACAACTTAAAGCTTTAGGAAATGTTAGGGAATAGATGATCTAGGTATTTTTGGTTACTAATTAGCATTACTTGAGGTATTAAGAAAAACATACAACGACAACTAAAGCGTACCATTAACAAATCCTCCTGTACTCAGGTGTGCACATAGATTGTTTATGTTGTTGTTTTTGTAATACTACTAAGTACACATTAATTGTGCTCATGAGGAATCTGTACACGGACCAAGAGGCAGTTCCCGTGTCAAAGAGACCATGGGAACACTGAATGGTTTAAAATTAAGAAAGGTGTGCAACAGGGTTATATTCTTTCACCATAATTATTCAACCTGCATGCTAAGCAAATAATCCGAGAAGCTGGGTTATATGATGAAAAATGTGGCATCAGAACTAGAGGAAGACTCATTAACAACCTGCGATATGCAGATGATACAACCTTGCTTGTTGAAAGTGAAGAGGACTTAGAATACTTACTGATGAAGATCAAAGAGCACAGCCTTCAATATGGATTGCATCTCAATGTAAAGACAACAAAAATCCTCTCCACTGAACCAATAAACACCATTCTTATCAATGGAAAAAAGATTGAAGTTGTCAAGGACTTGTCTTCTTGGGTCAACTATCAACATTCATGGAAGCAGCAGTTAAGAAATCAAAGGACGTATTGCATTATGCAAATCTGCTTCACAAGACCTTTTTTAAGTGTTGAAGAGTAAAGATGTCAGCTTGAGGACTAAGGTGCGCCTGACCCAAGCCATGGTATTTTCAATAACCTCATATGCATGCAAAAGCTGGACAGTGAATAAGAATAGGAAGACCATAGAAGAATTTAAGCTTTTTGAGTTATGGTGTTGGAGGAGAATATTCAAAGTGCCATGGGCTGCCAAAAGAACAAACAGATCTATGTTTGAAGAAGTGCAGCCAGAGTGTTCCTTGGAGGCCAGAATGGCCAAACTTTGTCTGTCATACTTCAGACATATTATCAGGAGGGACCAGTTACTGGAGAAAGATATTATGTTTGGTAAGGTGGAGGTTCAGAGAAAAAGAGGAAGAGCCCCAGCAAGATGGATTGGCAAAGTGGCAGCATTAATGGGCTCAAGCGTGGCAACAACTGTGAGATTGGCCTAGGCCCAGGCAGTGTTCCATTCTGTGCATAGGGTCACTATGAATCAGTACCAACTCGATGGCACCTAACAACAACAGCCAGAATGCTCCTTTGAAGCCAAGATGGCCACACTTCATCTCTCATACTGCAGATATATTATCAGGAGGGACCAGTCCCTGAAGAAGGATATCATGTTTGGTAAAGTGGACGGTCGGAGAAAAAGAGGAAGACTCCTAACGAGATGGGCTGGCCCAGTGCCAGCAGCTGTGGGCTCAGACATAGCAAAGATTGTGAGGTTGGCGCAGGACTGGGCAGTGTTTTGTTCTGTTGTGCACAGGGTTGCTATGAGTCGATACCGACTTGATGGCACCCAACAACAACACCAAGTCAATTGATCAAATTCATCATCTAAAATGTCTTACCACCTCCTTCCTCTTCTTGGACCCCCTGGTCCTCTGCTCCCTGAACAATGTCATTATCCATAGCATCATAGTGAGCTTGCTGTCTGCAAGGGACACAAACATTAGAAATTCAGTGACACAGAGTAAGTGGCAGAGTTCTACATAGGCCATGGATCTTTAGTGTAGTAATACACAAGATTTCCCAATATTTTTTAAAAGCTGTAATATGTATAGTTTTTTAGACTTACATAATTGGGTATAAGTAAGATTACATATATACTTTCAAAAGATACCTTAAAAAGATAAAATTGCCTTTCCAACAATAAAGTTAGCACAAAGCCTGAAACTGTAAATTTTAATAATAAACATCTTTCAAATGAATATTTGACACTTAGTTCCCAGTGAGTACTACCTGGCCTCCATGAGCAATATGAGCCCTTAAGTTCACGGATGACAAATACACAAAGCTGTTTATGGAAGGCAGATAGGAGGGGAGGGCTACCGTAGCTGTTCCTGGTGCTGCTGTTGGTCCTCCTCCTCCTGCTCCGCCTGCCTCTGCCGGGTTAGCTCTTTCTCCCGGGCCAGCTCTCTTTCCCGAAGCTGTTGTTGTTGCTGCTGTTGCTGTCTCTGCCATAACTGATGTTCCTGCATCCTCTGCTGATGCAAAGCTTCCTGACGGTCCCTCAGCCGCTGGGCCTCCTCCGTCCGCTTTGCTGCCAGTCTCTGCTGTTCTAACTGCTCCTCAAATGGCGATCGGAATTTAGTAACTGGCTTGGCAGAAGGATACACCTAAGGAAAAAGCCAGTTGAGTTGGATCTGAACTCCAAGAGTCAACTCCTCTGAGTTATCCATAACTTCGTTTGTTTCTCATGAAAAATCCAGGAGGCATAAAGCCCAAGATCAGCCAGCACCTGTATGCATGTTTTCCAATTACCCTTGCTTCTTTAAGCAGCTGACAGGTGGCATGTGGCATGTGGCATATTTTCAATGTGCTGCCCCCTCTCCAATGGAACATAGAGAATGACAGCAGAATTCAGTTTCAAATTTTACTTCAATTTATGTTAAAAAATAAATAAATGGATAAAAATGGGCACTTGGTAACCTCACACTAATTGGGACACTTCGTGAGTTGAAGCTTTAAGGTTTTTCCATGGAAAGTTAAAGACCTAGGGATGCAAAATAACTCTAGTGATGTATACATCAATCTTAGGCTTAGTGTAGGCAAAAGATAATGAGTATAAAATTTCAAATTACAATATAAAAAGTAGGGAGTCAATTTCTTCTTTCTTTGAGGAAAAAAGTATTTTCTGATTAAAGGATAATCTGATACAAGAATCCTTAAACTTTGCTTCCTATTCATCCCCCACCTACACTCAATATAGCACATACAATTCTCATACAAAAGAGGGGAATAGATGAGCCAGAGGAATTAAACAGTGGGGAATTATGTTGGGAAAAGATGGGAGAGGCTTCTCCATGCTAAGTTTGAAACTCCATAAAAGTACAACTACAGAGGCCTTCATATTTGCTCAATCTAAAGCTCTAAACAACTTGAAGTTTTGGAAAGGTTGAGGCCACACAGAGCTTCAGAGTTATAAATAAGATGATCAGTATCTTTGTACTGGCCTATTGTTAGGTTTTAGTTTAGAGATAGTAAAAGAAAAATACCTAGCTGAATTCAGTGTCAGTTAACTCTTAAATTCTTTTAATGTATCATTTATTAAAACATTGTAAGAAATGGCGAGGCTAACTTATATGAAAAAGGGGTTCTCAGAAGAGGGAGGATCCCTGAGCAGACTGGTTAAACACACTCACCTAGTGGAGGAACTCTAGTGATAAGATCAGCTTTTTGATAATTGAATAGCCATCTTGAAGATAAATGGGCAAAAGCCAATATACAATTTGAAAATAAATGGAGTAGGGAGAAGGGGATTTTGGTCAGTGAATATTGAGACTTTTCTTGGCCTTGAGATGCCGGTGGGGCTTGAGCACATACTAGGAAGGTGCCCAACCAGGTGCTGACCTGTGAATCTCCCTTACTGTTGACCAAGAGATGAATATATACATACATTAGTAGCGCTGTCTCTTTTCCTCGATCATACTATATATATGTATATAAGTGTTGTACTGTAGAATAAGTACTGGACAGCTAGCCACAAGTTCAGCAGTTCAAATCTACCAGCTGATCCTTGGAAATCCTATACAGGGTCACTATGAGTAGGAACCAATGCAACAGCACTTAATAAAAACAATATTATTAACATTATAATAGAAAAACTTAAGTATGTGCACTTGACACTTAAAAAACTCACTCAAATTTTTATTTTACAGATTGTCATCGATGGGGAGGGTTTTGCCTTTAAAATGAAAAATAAAGCCACATCCCCTATCCCAACTAGCAAAGCAGAAGTTCAGTAGGTTTGAAGTTGTGACCTCATACCTCAGCGTGAGCGTGCCTTTCCAGAAGATTGGCTGCTTCTTGTCCATGATGTTCCTTCCACTCCTGCTCCTGCTCCTCTGGTGATGGATCGTGTTCCTCCTCAAGATGTTCCGCTTGCCCAACCTGCTCCATTTCCTCCTCTTCCAGTGCCTTCCTGTGCTCCTCCTCCACCTGATGCTGCTCTGAGTCTCTGGGTTTGGCATTTTGTTGCTTCAGCTCTGCTGGAGCTTGAAATTCTGCCCCATTCTGGATGGTAGGATAAGGCTTAGTTTCTTCTGGTCTTCCAGGAACTGCTTCACGCCTCGGCCCCACATCACTATTTCGAGACACCTAGGCCAAGCACATCACTGGAAATGACATGCTTCTATTTTTAAAGCAGTGATATAATTTCTGTATTATGCTATCTATGCATCTATAAGATCAGCAAAATTCTGAAGTCTAGAAATAGATAGTCCTGATTTAAAAACACAGCTGTCCTGGAGTCACTAATTTTTCTTATTGTATAACCTCACCTACTGAACAGAGATAATTAAAGGCAAAATTTCATCTCAGAGAGAATACAATAAATTACTTGTAAAGTAAAACCTCTAAGCAATCATGCCTCACAAGTAGGCCCTTCCCTTAAAAGCAATCTAATTTCTGCTTTTTCATATAAAAAAGGAAAAAACCCTCAAGTTTCAAGAGATCAAATAACTGAGTATTTCCTCATTGTAAATTTTGTTTTCAATAAGTATTGATACTTAATGAGAAGAGTTGGGCTTTTTTTTGTTTGTTTGTTTAGTTTGACTTACTAATAAAAAAAGAATGTCTATTGCTACTTAAAAATAATGTCCATTAAGTAAGAAACAATAAAACATTTGTTATAAAATCAGAGGAAGTCTTTCGTAAAGATTTCATATTGTTGGTACAGAAAACTCTGAACAGAAAAAAAGAAAGGTCTTTCACTATGAATTACAACTGACTTGACAGCATCCAACAACTACAACAACTCTGGCACTGGTATAGTGCTCTAGGATAAGCACTAGACTGCTCACTGCAAGGTCGGTGCTTCAAATCCACCCTTCGCAGCTTGGAAACCCTAAACAGGGTCACTATGAGTTAGAACTGACTCCATGACACTTACCAACAACATCTCTAAAACTGGTTAACTTAGATCATTTTTTCCTGCACAGTTTAAAGATCTCTATATGATACTCATTACTTAGAAAGGGGGGAAAAAATGATTCAACAGCAACCAGAAAGTATGTCACACCTTTCCCTTCTTTATCAGAAAAATAAATGTGAAGCTTCTACTATTAAAGTAGGAGAAATATAGTTATTAAACGTGAGGAACTGGACTGCATACATAATTAACTGGAGGGAAAAAAAAAAATCCTTTCTTAGCCATCTGAAGACAACTTTGGGAGCTATACACCATGGCAACATTCTCATCATAGCTGGCAAATATGTCATAATACCGACCTAGCTTTAGATGAAATCTTATTTCTCTAAAAGGCCCTAAGTGCTTTTACACACCTGCCATTTATCTTTACAACATCCCTGTGAGAAAGGTTAGAGCAGATAACCACTATCTCCACCTCACAGATGGCAAAGCGAAAGCTGTGAGTCATTAGAAGATCAATCCAGTATGTAAAAAACATCTTATTGTCATGGAGTGGTTCTGACTCATAATGACCCTAGTTTAAGAAGAGAATGGCCCTTAGGGTTTGCAAGGCCATAAATCTTTATGGAAGCTGACTACCACTCTTTCTCCTGTGGAGCAGTTGGTGGGTTTGAACCACTGACCTTCCAGTTGGCAACCAAGCGCTTTATTGTTGTTGTTAAGGGCTGTCGAGTCGGTTCCGACCCATAGTGATCCTGTACAGGGTTTCCAAGGCTGTAAATCTTTACGGGAGCAAAAAGCCTCATCATTCTCCCGCAGAGCAGCTGGTAGTTTCGAACTGCTGACCTTAGGGTTCGCAGCTCGATTCGTAACCACTACGCTACCAGAGCTCCTTACACCAAGTGCTTTAGGCATAGTCAATTGCTTTAACCATCACACCACCAGGGCTTAATCCACTTAATGTTGTTGTGTGCAGTTGAGTTGGTATAGGGTTTCTGAGGCACAGCTAGTAGGTTTGAACTGCCAGCCTTGCAGTTACCAGTCCAGTGCTTATCCTACAGCACCACACCAGGGTGGAAAATATAGCCAGTTCCCAGGCCAAGGATATGGTCATGTGTTCTTAAGTTAGTAGTAACATACATCACAGAAAAATGCTGAGATTCCATGAGGATGCTGACCATGTCCCTGTTAGGTGTCCTGGTGTGGCATTGTGGGATAACTCACCTTACCACAAGGTTGATTGAAGGACAGGGTCAGTGGTTCAAATTCACCAGCCACTCCTTGGAAACCCTATACAGGTTCATCATGAGTGGGAACCTACTCAACAGCGCTTAACAACAACAATAACACATAGGAGATGTACATGGCGCTTTAGGATTAGCACTGGATTGCAAACCACAAGGTTGGCAGTTCAATCCCACCAAGTGGCTCCTCAGAAACCCTATACAGTGTTGCTATGAGGTGGAATCAACTCAACAGCACTTAACAAAAACAATGCATTTTATACAGATATATGTTTTTGTCTTGACAACACTTAACAACAGGAACAATTTATACAAAGAACAGGAATACAAAAAAGTAGGTTATGAGACTAGCACTCATTCCTGTGACATCTTTATAAAGGCTTTTTAGACAAATTTTGATGTGTTCCATATGGACTTGGAGTCCTGGTGTGGCATTATAGGATAATCGCTGTGCAGCTAACCACAAGGTTGGTCTTTCAAACCCACCAGCAGCTCCTCAGTAATACCATACAAGATCATTATGAATCAGAACTGATTTGACTGCACTTAACAACAGTAACAGTATGGACTTAGCACTGAACTAAGTTGAAACATATTATCTACCTTAACACTTGAGCCACACTATACCCTCATGATGATTTAACCGAAGGAACCTATGAAAGGGGGAAAAAAACAAAACTAAAACACATAAAAAATCCATGTATTACAGCTCTCCTGCACACACTGCGTGGATTTTTAAAAGTGTTTTGTTTTGATTTCCTCCCCCGTCCGCTCCCCTCGTTTTTAGGGACACTACAGTTCTCCTGTGGACTCCTGGTGTGGCACTGTAGGATAAGCACTGGTGTGCTAACAGCAAGGTTGGCAGTTCAAACCCACTAGCTGTTCCTCAGAAACCCTATACAGGGTCACTATGAGTCAGAACAGACTGGAAGGTGCTTAGTAATAGCTCTCCCTAAGACAAATAAACCCAGATGAATAAAGACAGAACCAGTAGTAAAGTCTCAGAAAAACAAACTATATCAGTGGTTCTCAAGTGTACTCCCTGACCAGCTCAGGCATTTAGAAATGCAAATTCTCATGTCTTATACAAACCAACTGAATGAGCAACTCTCAGGCTGGGTCCAGCAATCTGTGTTTTAACAAGCTCTGTGGGGGCGCTGATATACTCCATAATTTGAAAACCACTGTTCTGCAGGAAGGGTGGGCAATACTAAGAGCAGTTCACCTGCTGTCAGCTTGACAGAGAAAGTGACCTAACCACATATTACCAGTTCACATTTCCTACCTCCAGTGGCTCTTTGGTTGGTTTCTCTTTTGTGTTATAACCTTGTAGAGAATGTGCCACCAGGGGAATAGTTTGTTCCACCACTCGCTCAGGTTTTCGAAAGCTTGGAATCCTATTCAGAGTGTCTTTCAGTTGTTTATATTCTGCAACTTGAGTCTGCATATAAATTGCACAATTGGGTGCATATTGCACAATTTGAAGAGAAAAAAGATGTCATTCATAGATGAGTAATTGGGTTTACTGGAACACTAGACAAAAATATCATATCTACACACCAGTTAAGAAAAATATACATCTTGTTCTCATGCATTAGCTCTCCTTACTTTGACATGCTTAACCAATTTTTGAGCACATGCAAATTGGAATTAGAGTTAAAGGAAACAGAAAAAAAAAAAGTAAGACAGATGTTAGTTTCCCATGCTGAATCTAAAGAAGTCAGAATTTTATAAATAAACTTCTAACATATGTATCATTATTAAAAGTAAGACAACTATGCAACCAATGTTTCATAGCACTAAAGAAACAAACATTCTCACAATGATACAAATACAAGTGTAGATATCTTTTACCAATATCAGTGAATTTCCAGTAGAAAAGAATCATATAGTTTCCCCTTTCCTCAACTTGACCTCAAGTAAGATCCCTTAGTGGCCAGAAGTCTGTCTATAAAGCGCTTTGCCATTTTAGAAAGCTGGGCACAAGTATGAAATGAGGGTGGATTCTTACTTCTCAGTTCTGAATATCCATTTCTTCTAAACTGACAAAGGTGTTAATGTACATATAGTAATGTAATAAGCTCATATAGGTATATGTGCGTCTGTGGTGTGTGTGTGTGTGGCATTTTCAATATAAAGAACTAAAAAGGCAGAGAAAAAAATGCATAAATACAGAATAAAATCAGTAAGCCCCATATATACTTAGTTCAAGGAGTTCTGGTGGCACAATGGTTAAAGCAGTTAGCTACTAACCAAAAGCTGTCTGCCTCTGTAAAGACTGACAGTCTCAGGAACCCTAGGGAACAGGTCTACTCTATTCTATAGTGTAGCTGTGAGTTGGAGTGCACTGGAAGGCAGTGGGTTTGGTATCCTCAGTTCATCGTATAAAGCAACACCACCTTCATCTTAAAACAAAAACAATGCTGTCTGTGTAAACCCACACTTATAGAAACACACATATAACAGCACAGAAATCTTCTAAACCACCTAAGAGTCGCAGACAGGGCTGCCTCCCCTGGTGTACACAGTGAGCGGAGGCTGAAATATAGCCAGGCTTCTGGCTGCCAAAGACATGCCCACAGGCTCAGCATTCTTTCATCCCTAAGGAAGAAGCACTGCTTCACCTGTTTCCAGTTTAAGCAAAAGTGAAGAAGTCTGTTTATTCTAAATAGGCCCAGAAGTGGAGCCTAGTCATAATCCATACAAGGTGTGCTATATAGGCTAGCGGTAGCATTCATCTCAAAAACTCTATCAAAACATTTACAAACCAACTTTGGAAATCAAAGGAAAAAACAAATGACATCCATATAGAGATGCCTGTCATATTTTAAGATGTATATGTAGGAGCTTTTAAAAGTTCATGGAAACATGACCTTTTAATTCCATTTTTTAATTAACTTTTAAAAGTCCCCTTATATGGATCATATGCAAGCCTCAATTCTATCTTTTCTTCTCTTTTTTCCTTCTGGAAAGATTTTGAAGGCAGTAATGCTGTGTTCTTAAATGTGTGTATTAAGACTTATGTAAAGATCATGAGATAATTTCATGTTCCTTGCCCCACCCTACCCCACTCTAGAAATTATGGTTCAATCGGTCTGAAGCAATACCCAGGTATTGTGATACAGGTAAATTTCAAAAACACTGGCTGAAGAGTTAACTGTAACTTTGATGTTAGGCTGGCCTGAGATTCTGGTTAAATTCTGGTTGGGTTAGTTACTTTATATCCTTTCTCTTCAGTTTATTTAGTAATGAAAGGGTAACATGTTACATAACTCACAGGGTAATGAGTGATTAAGTAAGATTCTGTACATAAAAGTTTCTTATGGTTCTTGTTGTTGTTAGGTGCCATTGAGTCGGTACTGATTCATAGCGACCCTATGCACAACAGAACGAAACAATGGCCAGTCCTGGGCTAACCTCACAATTGTTGCCATGTTTAAGCCCACTGATGCTGCCAACTTTGCCAATCTATCTCGCTGGGGCTCTTCCTCTTTTTCTCTGACCCTCCACCTTACCAAACATGATATCCTTCACCAGTGACTGGTCCCTCCTGACAATATGTCCGAAGTATGAGAGAAAAAGTCTGGCCATCCTGGTCTCCAAGGAGCACTCTGGCTGTACTTCTTCCAACACAGATGTTTGTTCTTTTGGCAGCTCATGGTAGTTTCAATATTCTCCTCTAACACGGTAACTCAAATGCATCACTTCTTCTACTGTTTTCCCTATTCACTATCCAACTTTCATACGAATATGAGGTTATTGAAAATACCATGGCTTGGGTCAGGTGAACCTTTGAGCTCTGGTAGCGTAGTGGTTACGAATCGGGCTGCTAACCTCAAGATCAGCAGTTTGAAACTACCAGCTGTTCCGTGGCAGAAAGATGAGGCTTTCTGCTCTCGTAAAGACTTACAGCCTCGGAAACCTTATACAGGGTCGCTATGAGTTGGAATTAACTCCATGGCACACCACCACCACTTTCTAATGGTGGTGGGTGTTGTTGTTAAGTGCCGTCGAGTCGGTTCCAACCCATAGCGACTCTATATAGGGTTTCCAAGGAGCAGCTGGTGATCTTGAACCACTGACCTTATGGTCCTGACATATTGTAAACTCTCATATCCCATTCTATCCTATTCTATTCATGCTTCACCCATTCCAGCCCTCTCAACTATATTTAACATTCAGGTTGTTAGGATAGATTCTCATAAGACGATATACATTAAAAGTACAGATTTATGAAATAGCGTTTGTTTTTTAAGGACATCTGGAAAAAGTGCTTTAATAAGAAGACTGAAGGTGGGGCTCTAAGTGTTGCTTCTACTTTTAGCATAACTTAAAAAAGGGTAGAAAGCAGGACAAATCTGGAGCCACCACCCTAAAGAATCAAAAAGATTAATTTAATAAGGTTAATTTAAAGAAATGTAAAACTATATATAACATTTTTTAAAAATCCTATTATAAAACCCTGTCAATAATACTCCCAGAGTGTTTGGTTTGGTTGGCCAATAAATGAACTATTTTACTTCCATTTCTATGATTTTCAAATTGTTGCGTACTCTAATAATTATGGAGTCCTGATGTGGCACTGTAGGATCAGCACTGAACAGCAAGGTCAGTTTGAATCACATGGTTGGCGGTTCAAACTCACAAGCTGCTCCTCAGAAACCCTATACAGGGTCACTTTGAGTAGGAACTAACTCGATGGCACTTAACAACAATGACTAGTAATAATGGCTATTAAAATATATTGGGTCAATTCAGTTTGTTTTGATAAACTTTGCCACATTTTATAGTATGAAAAACAGTCTCATGTAAAACAAAGCATTTTTATAAAGAAGAATTTGAATAAAATAATCTCTAGAGTCAATTTGGAGTCCTGGTATAGTGCTGTAGGATAAGCACTGGACTGCTAACCACAAGATCAGCAGCTCAAACTCACCAGCCACTCTTTAAAACCCTAGATAGGGTCACTATGAGTAGGGACTGATTCAACAGCACTTAACAACAACAGTAAAGTCAATTTAATTTATACAGGTGAAAAACATTGCTGCACAATTGTAGTTTAGTATGGAGACACCGGCTCCCTACTAGTATTAGTGGGGCCCAACATCTTAAATGTTTTAATAGCTTTGTCTCTTTCTTTCTCTACCTACCTACTTAGCATAGTGTTTACAAGTCTGGCTGAGGTCAGCAGTTCAATACTACTGGCCACTCCGAAGGAGAAAGGTGAGGCTTTCTGCTCCCATAAAGATGTACAGCCTCAGAAACCCTGTAGAGGGTTGTACAGGGTCACCATGAGTCGGAACAGACTCCATGTCATACCACCATCCAGATTTATATACACACATATAGAGAGAGCTCTGGTAGCGTAGTGGTTACGAATTGGGCTGTGAACCGCAAGGTGAGCAGTTCAAAACTACCAGCTGTTCCATGGGAGAAAGATGAGGCTTTCTGCTCCCATAAAGATTTACAGCCTCGGAAACCCTGTACAGGGTTGCTGAGTCAGAACTGACTCCACAAAACATAACAACAACATATATATATGTATGTATGTATGTATGTATGTATATATATATATACACACACACACACACAGAGAAAGCCTCCTGTTAAGTATAGTTAGCTGATTTCCCTTTGCTCTTTCATCTTAATTTCTCCACCAAAAAGAAAATTTAAGATCTAGTTTAACATAATGACTAGGCTAGCCATTCCTGTTTCTTTGCTTATACTGTTGTTGTTAAGTGCCATTGAGTCGATTCCGATCCATTTCCGAGGAGCAGCTAGCTGGTGAGCTTGAACCACTGACCTTCGACTGTGTGTGAAGTTCAAATGGCTTTGCAGTCTGGCACATTAACCCACAGCGCCACACCAGGACTCCATAAGCTTGTATTTGTTCAGATGCTTATTCAGTAAAGATCTGTAGAGGGCTTGGCTGGTGCCAGGAAGTGTTCTAGGCTTTGAACAAATGGAGCACAGGGCTCTTGGCTTTTCCTTCTTTACTGACAAGAGATCTATTTTATGTTTGGTATATTTATCCCCAACCCCTTAAACTTAATCCTAAAAGGAGTATGTCTCCATTGAAATGCTGAGAGTGTGGGAGGGACAAAAGAAAAAAATCTGACAATAATTTATTTAGGTAGTTAACACCAAAATATCTTACCAATCTTATTTCTTTACCAAGAGACAACACACATCGGATAGTTGCCCAAGACCATGCATAAGGGAAAATTCTGAGATTTAAACAAGTGTTAGGCTACTGAACGCATAGGCTGGTAAATAGAAAAAGGGAAAGAAGTAGAAATAGTCATATGTATCACGTACCTAGTGTGAAACATATTCAAAGATGTATTTAATTTTCTTTTGATGGTCTTTTGAAAGCATGCATGATCCTCAGGATCAGGATAGCTTTGTCATAAAGAATTTGTTGGAAGTTGGATTGTAAGAGACTCCATGCATAAGGGAATTCGGAAATGTTAAGACTAAAAGAACCAGTGAGGGAGGCTGCTACCCTGCTAACCTGTGCAGCGGCTAGTGCACTCTTGTGGTCTTCCAAAGTCACTACAAGCTGTTCATGCTCGGAGAGTAAATTCTTATGCTGTTGCTACACAAAAAAGAATTTTACATATTGAGCTTTCACATCCTAGTACAAATTCTTTTTGGCTGACAGTCATATGGTCCCCAAACGTTGTATGATTGTTTATTTTATCTGTTTGCTTATTGGTGCAATGTTTGTTACATTTAGAAATTAGTATTGAGGCAAGATTACAATTTAGGTAGTACTCGATAATTTAAAATACATGACCAAAATACAACCAAAGGAAATCAAAACCAAAGGAACAAATCTTTTATTATTAATTAACCTCTGTAACAGATTTAATAAATGCAACTATCTATAGCAAAATAAAACTTTTGGGCTTCAGGAAAATAATTCTGATATTTAGGCAATCAAAGCTTATAAAACAGAAGAGTTACATTTTTATTTATGCTAAGTAGTGGTTACGAATCAGGCTGCTAACCTCAGGGTCAGCAGTTCAAAACTACCAGATGTTCTGCGGGAGAAAGATGAGGCTTTCTGCTCCCGTAAAGATTTACAGCCTCGGAAACCCTGTACAGGGTCGCTATGAGTCAGAACCGACTCCACGGCACATAACAACAACAAGCCCAAAATAGCAATATGGATTTGTAAAGCCAGTCAATCAATGAGAATGATTTTTAAACGGTCATCCTGCAAAGTAAAACAAGCAGGCACAGAAGAGTAAAATGTGTGCTTTTTATTTTACCTTCACATCTTGTAGCTGCGTATGAATGTCCTGATGTGCTTTCCTTAGTTGTCTATTCTCTTCTCTCAAATTATACACCGTTTCTAGTTTAGCAAAATAAAAATCATGCATGTAAGTGAAAATTCCAAGCTTATGATTTTATTATCTTCACATTCCAAGCCTCACATAACTTGGTTTAAATTTTATTTTAGATTTTCAGTATAATATTCCAATTTAACAAAACTAAGCTATATTGGGATGCAACATGGATTCAGTTGGGCATCCCAGTGCAACCTGGTTCAGTACTTTAAATACTTTTAAACAAGCTATGCATCATAGAAGAAGTTAGGATTTTTCATTAGGAAGGAGTTAAATATTTCTGTCAATAGGGAATCCCTTATTAATAAAGCATAGCAATGTAGGGGTAGTATAAGATCTGAATAGGGTTTCTGAGGAGTGACTGGTGATCTTGAACACCGACCCTGAGGATCATACTGACTTTGCAGTCCAATGCATTAACTCACAGCGCCCCACCATTAGTGAGGCCATATTAGTATACTCCTGGTGTGGCACTGTAGGTTGGCTTGAACTGCAAGGTTGGCAGTTCAAACCCACCAGTCAGTCCTCAGAAACTCTATACAGAGTCATTATGATTTGGAACCAACTCGACAGCACTTAACAACAACAAACAACGTCAATGTAGTGATATAAAAAGAGGTGACTAAGTACAAAGAAACTCAAGAACAGGAGAAAGATATATGCCACATGGAGATCTTCAAGAGCCCTAGAGAAGATAAGGCAAGGATTTTCCACCAAGAGCAGATGGAGAAAGCCTTCTCCTAGAGCCAGAGCTATGAGTTTTGATTTCTAGCTTCCTAAAGGAGCTATCATCTGGTAGCGTAGAGGTTATGAATCGGGCTGCTAACCTCAGGGTCAGCAGTTCGAAACTATCAGCTGTTCTGTGGGAGAAAGATGAGGCTTTCTGCTCCCATAAAGATTTACAGCCTTGGAAATCCAGTACAGGGTCACTATGAGTCGGAACTGACTCCACGACACATAACAACAACAACAAATGACTCTTAGAGTCCTGATACAAGGTTGTAAGATAAGCACTCAACTACAACGTTGGTTTGAACTGCAGGGTCGGTGGTTCAAACTCACCAGCTGCTCCTTGGAAACTCTATACAGGATTGCTATGGGTCAGAATTGACTCGAAGGCACTTCAACAAGAAATGACTCCTGGTGTGGTGCTGTAGGATCAGCACTGGAATACATGCCACAAGACAGGTCAAATCCACAAGTTGCTCCTTGGGTTGCTATGAGTCAGAACTGACTCAATAGTATTTGACAACAAATTGTGAAAAATAAGGTTCTGTTCATTGAAGCTACCCATGTGCAGCTATTTCTATTGTAGGAACACTAAGAAACCGAGACACCTGCTTAAAAAATTCTAAGTGTTGTTTTTTTCCTCCTACCATTAAGGTTTTGAATGAACAATTCTACCTCCATAAGTAAAAGAAAGTTCTTTCTAGGGACAATGTGAAACTACAGCAGCCAGAATGTGGCCCTAACATCTCCCTAATCCCAAACCCTTGGTAATTTCCCTGAATCCAGACATCAGAAGCTGTGAACTAGTACCCATTGTGCCAAAATCCAACCCACAGAATTCTTTTTGAATGTGTGACCCCTGCAGTGTTGGCCTATACAGGGTCTTCCAGATTGGAATAATTGCCACTGCTGAAAAATCAAGAATCTGGGTTTAATAAGATCTGGCAACACTAGGCCAATTCAGATGTGACAATGCTCTATGTGAGGTGAGTGGCAGCAGGGTAACCATCTAATTCATTTTCCAGTGAGTGATATGCTTGGGAGCAAAAGGGTGTGCTGTTATCAACTACGCTGGGACTGTCCCTGGGCAAAGGGCCTGCATAGTACATACCTCTGTGCCCAACTACCGGTCAAAAGGTTGGCAGTTTGCACCCATCCAGTAGTGCTGTGGAAGAAAGTCCTAGTGATCTGTTTTAGTAAAAATGACAGCCAAGAAAACGCTTTTAAGCTCAGTTCTACTTTGTAACACATGGAGCTGCCATGAGATAGAATCAACTCAACAGCAATAGGTTCGGCTTTTCTTTTTTTTTTTTTTTTTCCTGGGCAAACCCTACTTAAGTGGCAGTTGCATTCTGCAGTCAAGGCCGTAACTCTTCGGGGTGTGACTCAGCACTGAAGCAAAGTGCCAGTCACCATGCCTCATAATATTTCTGGCCACGTTGAGTCCTTCAGATCCTGGCCTGAACCCTGGGCACTAGATTCACAATGAGGGTTTAGTGCGGAGATGGGAGAAGAATCAAGAACAGAGATGGGAAATATGGCCAATGATTAGGTTTCCCACCTACAGGTAAAAATAAATTTCTTCAAGGGAAAAAAACAGTAGCCTACTGGCAATCCCATGAGGACCTTAAGTATGTCATTAAACACATACACACTTACATACACCACTAAATATGCACACTCTGAAATCCTCTGAAGGCATTTCACGTGAAAAACGTGGGATACTTTTGGAGTAAGTTTGAAGGTTGGCTCCCCTGCCTTTGCTTTGTCACCTTGAGCAAAATGTTTAACTTTGATCTACCTCAACTTCTTTGTTATGTGAAGTTATACAAAATGCCTGCCTTGCAGGTTGCTACAGGAATTAAATAAAATGATCCTATGAAGAGTTTCACCTGGAACTAGCATATGGTAAACATTTGTTAAGTGCCAGTCATTCTAATGAGGGTGACAAAAAGAATAATTATCTAAGCTTACACGCAATCCGTTCAACCTCCCTAGGAATTCTAAATTCACTCTTTTTAGTCACATTAAAGAAAGACAACGTGGACTATACATGAAAAAAGTATGTTGTTACTTGGTTAGGTGCGGTCAAGTTGGTTCTGACTCACAGCAGCCCTGCGTAGAGACCAGACACACCATGATGAGCTTTAATTTACTATTCTAATTTTTTACCAATGATCATAACCAATGAAAGTGCCATTGAAGTCATTTCCTGGTCTGTTATTAAAGGTCTTTAAGGAATTTCTTCTACAAATTGGTACCAGAAACACTATTCTCTCTGTTTTTCCAAAGGTGTTGGTATATTCTTTCTGATGAAAAACCCATGCTACTGACACTGAATCCATTCTGACGCAGAGCAACCCTATAGAACATAGTGGAGCTGCTCTATACTGTTTCTGAGACTATACATCTTAATAGGATTAGACAGCCTCAGCTTTCTCCCATGAAGTGGCTAGTGGGTTTAAGCCACTGAACTTGAGGTTTGCAGTCTGATGCATAAACCACTGCACTGCATCAATGGGGCTCCTGTCTACTAAGAAGAGCCCTGTAATTTACTTACTGTATTACCTCTTTAGTCCTGAGTTCTAGAAAGTTCAGACTAGGTAATAGGGCTTGAATCATTTTAGTACTCAATGTATTTGTTTCCTCCTATATCCCATGACTAATTTATATCTTCCATTAATAATTTGTTAAATTTTTAACTATACATTTGACTTTGTTTCAAGTAAAGGAATAAATATGAGTTGGACATATGAAAACTGTTTTCAGGGTGATTACTAAATGCAAATATATTAATTTATGTAAAGCTCTTAAAGTATGCCAAGCACAGATAAGACACCTCACCCATTTTATTTGCTAATTTTCTCATTACTCAATTAATTACTTATTATTAGTGTAACATTAATTTGTAAATCTAAGTTAAACCCCAGCTTAGCTTAGGCTACAAATGCTAAACATGCCAATGATCATGAAGATGACACAGGAGCATCCAATAGTTCCTTCTGGTAGACACAGGGTGGTCATGAGTGAGAACAGACTCTACCATGCCTAAAACACCAACAAGAAACAGTGGATCCCATAAGTCAATATCTCCTCTCCCCTCTCTACTCAAGATGCAACTATCTGCACTCAGGCAAGCTAAGTGCCATCTGACATGGGAGTTCTCTCTTCCTTTATAATACCTTTGTTATGTAATACCTTTGTTAGGTCTTTCAGTGTTCACTCTTTGTTTTGTCATCTTCAACAATCCATCACCTGTCACATCGCCAGCAAGCCAAGGACCCAATAAGTCTACATGTCTTGGGTATTATCTGGTCACACTCAGCCTGACTCTATCAAGACCACCTTAACCCTCTGGTTTATTGCCTCGATGACTTTTACTATGTACTATTTTACTCTCTGAAGTCCTGGCGAGGTGCTGTGAGTTAATGCTTTGGACTGCAAAGTCAGTTTGAACTGCAAGGTCAGCAGTTCAATCTCACCAGATGCATCTTGGAAACCATATACAGGGTCGCTATGGGTCAGAACCGATTCAATGGCACTTAACAACAACAACATTTTTCTCTCTAAGGAGCTCTGGTAGCATAGTGGATTATGAGCTTGGCTTCTAAGTGCAAAGACAGCAGTCTGCATCTTCCAGATGATCTTTGGGATAAAGATGAGGCTTTCTGTTCCTGTAAAGATTTATAACCTCCAAAACCCTATACAGGGTCGCTATGAATCCGAATCAACTCAGTGGCATACAACCACCACCACCATTTTACTCTATACTACTATCTTTAGGAGTACTAGCTTTTTAACTTTTAATTCAAAAATAATTATAGACAAAATGTTGCTAAAAGTAGTACAAAGTCCTAAGTACATACTACTCAGCTTCCCTCAAAGGTGACATCTTATATAAATGTAATGCACTACCTAAAACTAGGGAATTGGTTGGCACCATTCAGTTAACTATAACCTGGTGTGGCACTGTTGGATAAGCACTTGACCATAAAGTTGGTTTGAACCACAAGGGTGATAGCGCAAACTCACCATATGTTCCTTGGAAACCCTATACAGGGTTGCTATGAGTCAGAACCAACTCAACAACACTTTACAATGGCATAGCCCTACTAAGATTTCATCATTTTTTGCATGCACCATGAACTTTATTAAACTATTCTCACATATTAAAATTATTTAGCACCTGGAAATTTGACTGTAGAATGTGCTGGTTCCCTTTTCCAGGACTCACATACACTCAGAGATAGGAAACACTTTGTTCCATTTTACTCTAATCACCTAAGGATGATTATGATAATAAAGGCAAACAATACATATTTTACCATTTGCCTATAACAGTTTGAGGTGCTTTATATAAATCATTTAATTCTCACACCAACCCTACAAGGTTGATACTTATTTATAATGATCCCAACTTTACAGATAAGGACAATGAATCCCCAAATAATTAATTACACAACTTGCCCATTGTCATATAAATAGTAATTGGAGAAAACAAGATTCACACAGGTGATCTGGCTTTAGAGCCTGTGTTTTCCTAGCTACGATAAGGTACTCAACAGCTCAAGAGAAGTCTCTCACCCTTTTGGGGAGTTTCAAAATATGTGGGGCAATTTACCATTGTCACAATGACCAGGGAACATTGATGACACTTAGCTGGCAGGTACTAGAAATGCTAACTATCTGGCCACTTACGAACTCATGTCCAAAACAGACATTTTGCCCCAATGAGAAACATTGAGTATTCTACTATACTTAATGTAACTTCCTTAATCAAACCCTAAAAGATAAGGATAAATATGAAACACTACAAAGAGGCCAGTAGCTAGTAAAAGGTCACATGACCAATCAATCACTATGCAAAAGCCAGCAAAATAAAACAAAAGCCTATTGTTCTATTTAATACAAACTGGCTAACTAGAATTTTGAACACCTTTTAGCTTGGAAAGTTCTTGTTCCTTCTCCTGTTGAAGCTGCAAGTATTTCTGCTTATGGTCATTGAATGTTCTACTGAAGTCTTCCCCCTGTTTGCGATGCTCCTCTTCCAAGTCAGTGTGCTGTTTCTTCAGCTCCTCATGTTGACTCTGCAAAGATGAAAACTTGAGCAGAGATACACATTCTGTACAGAAATCATATAAGAAACTGTTTCTTGAGAGCATAAGTTTTCCCTTGAAAAAAAGAACAAATGAAAATATAGGTCTCATTTTCTTGAGGCTGCCTTTAATTTATGCCATTCCCCCTACATTTCATAGAAATTTTTTTGGATTATAGCCAAAAATAACGTTCTCCTTAATTTTAACATTAATGGGAAGCAAGTTAGCATGAGAGACGCAGAAAGTGATTTGGAGGAATTTGCAAGGACTCAAATTACTGTGGGAACAAGGAAAGCTAACGGCAAATCTATCCCTCCACAGACTTTCTGGATTTCTTATTTCAATCTGATATTTCCCCAGCAACATAATTGATTTCTCTTCTCTGGTTTCCAGATTTCTCTGATACCCAGCTGTTGTTTGATTTGATTTGATTTTTTAAAAATGTATTTTCCTTTTTGTAGGTAATGATAAATTGATTGTCTATAGAATGATTCTCATTTTCCTGACTCTTGATTACTACTATACTGTAATTACAATCTAGATAAACTGTACAGTCACCAAACACTTAATGTGAAAAGACTGTCTGCTTTAATTCATGCGCTGCATTCTTGGTAATAGGGAAAGTGCGGGTTTCAATAAAAAAAAGCATGTGCCCTGCCTGGCAGAGGAGAAAAGACAATGCTAAAAAAAAAAAACTAGGGGCAAGGCAGAATGTGGCATGCTTTGCATACTGTGCGGAATAGCACGCTGCTCATCTCTTCTTTTTTTTTTAATTTTATTGTCTTCCTGAGACCCAGTAATGAGTTTTACCCAAGGACCAAGGAAGGAGAAACTTTAAGTATAAACTGTGTTCCTGTGATAGGTAAAATGAATATGAATTAAATATAGTAACATGAAGAAAGCATTTTAATAGGTACTGAATCAAGTCTGTCTAGGATAACAGGAAAATGTCTAAGGAAAAACACTGAGAAATTAAAGCAGGCATACAACAAACTTTAAAGGATAAAGAAGGAAAATGTTTAAATGGTGACCAAAGTACCTGCTTTATAAGAAAATGGATAAGCTAAATATGTTCTTTGTATCAGGTTATAAATATGATAGGGTATTACCATTATACAGAATTGAAACCAACTATGACTTTAATATACTGTATTATTACATAAATCAACTTTCTATAAACACTCTAATCATCTTAAAAACCATGGAATTCATTAGTTCAAATACCAGTTGATCCTTTCTTTCATTTGTGAAGAACAATTTTAAATTACTCACTTTCAACATCTGATGTTGTACATTCAGTGCACTGTATCTGCTATTGGAATCTTGCTGTAAATTGAAAAGAAAGTCGTCAACACAAAGGTAACAAACCTGGTACTCTTGCGAAATAAATTAAAGAATTTTATTTATTTCACGTGTGTAAGCTGAAATGCATTGTATGCATGAAAACGGATGTCTTGGGAGCCATTTCTTTATTTTACAGCAGAAATAAAGTTTTAGCTTTGCCATACTATTGCTCAAGCTCAAAAGCCGCTCCTTGGAAACTGTATACAGGGTTGCTATGAGTCAGAATCGACTCAATAGCCTTTAACAATAACAACAACAAAACCTTTGCTAGATTTTGGTAATGAAAAAATAGAATCATAAAATGGGAGTTTACAAGGGCCCTCAGAAATGATTTAGTCCCACCTTTCATATTGAGAAGTCAGGTCAAACACTGCACAAGTTAAGGGGAAGAGGAGATAAACCAACCATTCCTCACAAGCTTAAAATGGCTAAAGTAAGAGAAGAGAAAAGGTGCTTTTCTTCATTGAACTTCAGTGGGTAAGACATTTTATATCCATTATTTTACCCCACGGAGACTCCATGTCACAGAGTGAGGAACAAACTCAGGAAGGTTAAAGAAGATGTCTTGTTTAAGTAACAGAGCAGGACTGAAAGTCAAGTTAAACTGATATCCAAGCGCCATGTTCCAGTATGATATACTTGTGTCGCAGTGGAGCAACTGCACACATGAACCTAACTCATTTCTACAGCCCTGAGCAGCCACAGCCAGTCAGTCTCAGGGGCTCCTGCAAAGTTTTCTTTCTTTGTTATACTGTGTTCTTTTATCTTTACCTGCCCCCTTGTTTTATCTTGTTACCAGCACAAGCACATTCTCCCAATATTTTCTTTTATATATTTTTTTAACTTCTAAAATGAATTGCATTTTTGCTTTATTGCTTTACTACTTTATTTCAATTCATAGGAAATTACATTATAAAATATACAACAGAGAGTCACAATGCTGGCCAGGCTATTAAAAGGAAGTAAGAATTGAAAGTTGATTGGCTCCCAGTGCATCCAAAGAATGGACTCTTCTCAGTTTTAATGCCTCCAAACACCAGTAGTTTATTCAACTAATGCTTACATGTTTTTCTTAGTGTAAGAGGAAGACTTGTTTTCCTACAGTTAATTCAGGCTTTAAAAATGTTTTTAAGTGTCTATGTTATTCATTCATTCAGTCCACAAATGTTTTTGCATGTCTACTAGCATAGTGGTTACGAGTCGGACTACTAACCTTACAGTCAGCAGTTCGAAACTACCAGCTGTTCCGCGGGAGGAAGATGAGGCTTTCTATTCCCGTAAAGATTTACAGCCTCGGAAACCCTATGCAGGGTCACTAAGAGTTGGAACTGACTCCATGGCACACCACCACCACCACCACCACCACTCCAGAATAGTAACTATATTAGATACTATGCATGCAAACAAAAGCCAATGTAAATAGTATAATCCATGGAAAAGAGAGACTTGAAGCAAATGAATGAATAAACATAATCTTCTTACTGTTGAACACTGAGGTTATTCCCAACTGATCACTGCCATGGATTGTATTTCTGTTGTTGTTAAGTGCCACTGTTGTTGAAGCACAGACTTTGCAGTTCAAATCAACCTTACCTTGCAGTTCAAATGAACTGCTTATCCCTACAGTGACATACCAGGACTCCATGGATTTCACTGTTGTTGTCGCCAGGTCCTGTCAGGTCAATTCTGACTCATAGGGACCCAAGTAGGTTTTCTGAGGAATAGGTTGTGGGTTTGAACTGCCAACCTTGTGGCTGATCCTACAGCACTAATTGGGCCCTCCAAAAAAGTTACATTGAAATCCTCACCCCTGTACAAGTAAGTATGTCTCTATTTGAGAAAATAGGGTTTGTGTTATGTTAATGAGATCATACAGGATGGGTCCTAAATCTAATCTCTTCTGAATTGTATTTTACAGAGAGGAGTACAGATATAGAGAGACAGATATATACAGGGGAAGACTTCAACATGTGGAAATATATATACATGCAGTCAATGGTTTTTAAGAAACATCCAGGACAAGAGGAACAGAAAGAAAGGAGTTTCCCTTAGGCTCCAGAGAGCATGCACATGCAGGAGATTAGCTCTGCTCATGTACTGGCTTCAGAGTCCTTGCCTCTGAAACTGTCAGACAATAAATTCCCATCTTTAAATAAAGTCATACATTCTGTGGTATTTTGTTATGGTAGTCCTAGGAAACTAAGACAATTACTATCATCAATCATGTGATCAGCAAAAGTACCTTTTAAAAGATTAAGTTTGAAAGCTCTCTCTTGAAATATTTTTGGTATCAAAAACTTGTATCTTAATTCAACAACACTAGTGATCAACAGAGTAAAATACTTTGTGACTATATCTCCTTCTCCTTCAAGTTTCATATGAAAAAAGTTAAGAGAAATTAAACTTACTCGTCCTTTATTTAGTGTTTCTTGTGCTTCTAACTTATAAACAAGGAAATCTAAGAAATAAAAGATGGAGAAAATAAAAATTGTAAATTAATTTATTCTGGAGATTTAAAACATTAAAGGAATCTTACTCAATTTTGCAAAAGTGTTCTAGTTTTAAAACAATCTACTTGGGAATTGACATTCTTTTTATCCCTTGATATTAAAAACTATATTTTTTATTTTTTATTATACAGTCTTCCTCCTTACCTTAGAGCTGTAAATCTTGCACCAACAAAATCCAAACTATGACCCAGTGATTAAAAGAGCATTTAGAATATCTGTGATTAACTCTCCTCGAAACTGGAAGGAAAAAAATTGCATGCCTGTAGACATGGATGATTTATTGTTTCCCACTAGATGGCACACTATCATCATTCAGGACTTGGAGCAATCAGGCCAAGGAGACCATCATCAATGCTCTTAAAACTTTATTATCCACTAGATGGCTCTATACAATCGCTCAGCATTTAGAGAGGAGAAATTCCTAATCCTGTCAAAGCATTTTCATTACTTTAAACTTCTATACTTCACACAACCCTATAAAAGGTAGCTATGAATGGGAACTGACTCAACAGCCCTTAACAAAAACAACATACTTTGCACAGGATTAATCCAAGAGTGAGTAAAGCATCCTAACCAGTGCTGTCCCCTCCACTTTCCCTCTTCAGGTAATCAGACTGAACAACTCTACCTTCCATCTTGATATACTACAAAACACGAATGAATAGATAAAACTGGACTGCAAAAAAGTTCAGAATATAAGCTTTACAAGGTCTGTCATTTAGCAAAAAATTCTGAAAAAAAGTTATTTCAAGTTAAACCAATTAGCTGTCCAATAAAGTCTTCAAAAGTCAAAAATATTTGCAAACCTTAAATATGTGCATACCAGGCTATGCAATCAATTACATATATTACATGGATAGATAGATAGATAGATAGATAGACATAGAGATAGACAAAAATTATACATATATGTGGACCTTACTTGCTATTACTCTATTTTTTTTCTGGAGGTCAAAATAATATGTAATTATTACCAACATATAGACTACTTAATGACAGCATGAATGGAATGAAGGATTCTAAATCCAATCTTCAGCAATAATTATCATGTAATGCATAATATACTGTTTGATAGCTCTCTTTATCCATCCACCTCTAAGACTTTTGGTATGTTTGAGAAATTTCTTCGCAAAAACAATAGTAAAGCAAGTATATAATGTTTCAAAGAAGAATGTGATAAAAACATAGAACATAAATTTAATTATTTATTTACCTTCCTTGGCTTTCTTATGTTCAAGTCTTTCCTTTTGCAGGGATTTCTCTAATCTTGATCGGTGTTCATATACAACTTTAAAAAAAAAGAGAGAGATAGTTATATTATGTCCTAAAAGAATGAGCAATTCTAAAACAAAGTTAATATAATGTTTCAGTACTGGGCTAACCAGGCAGGAAAACAGCTTAGGGTACTTTTGTAGGGTGTGTCCCTCAAAAAAGACACGTTCATGTCCTCAGCCCCTGCACCTGTGACTGTGGACTTAGTTCTAAACAGAGTCCTTACAGGTGTACTCAAGTTAAGATGAAATTACATTGGATCACAGTAGGCCTTGTCCAATGACTGGTAGGTATCCTTTACAAGATGAGGGAAATCTGGACACAGAGACACAGAGGAGATCCACAGGGAGAATGCCATGTGACAACAGAGGCAGAGACTGGAGCGATGTAGCTACAAATGAAGGAACACCAAAATGATGGACAACCACCAGAAGCTAGGAAGAGGCAAGGATCAATCTGCCCCTAGAGCCTTCAGAAAGAACATGATCCAGCTGATACCTTGATTTCAGACTTACTGCCTGGAGAATTGTAAGAGAGTAAGTTTCTGCTGTTGAAAATCCACACTCTTTGTGGTAATTTTTAAGGCAGCTCTAGGAAATTCATGAAAGCCCTTCCCATTGGAATCTTTACTAAGGCAGCCAGTTTCGTTTTTTCCTGTGGAGTAGCTGGTGAGTTTGAACTGCTGACTTTGTGGTTAGCAGCCCAATGCCTAATCCACAGCACTACCAGGGATCCTTATGTATCCTTACACAATTACAATAGGTGTATGTATGCACTGTAAGTTTCACATTCTGGGTAAAGAACAGACATATTATTCTGGGCTGGCTCCCACATGTTGTTGCTGTTGTTAAGTGTTGTTGAGTTGGTTCTGGCCCATAATGACCCTGTATAGGGTTTCCTTGGAGAGGCTGGCAAGCTTGAATTGCCAACCTTGCAGTTCAATCGACTTTGCAGTCCAGCACCTTAACCCACAGCACCACACCAAGACTCCCATATAGTCTGCCCCTTTACAGAACCAATACTCGGAAAAAGACTTCAGCCTTCTTTGTCAGCTACTTTACCTTCCCCTGCCCCTTACATTTAAGTGTCTCTGTGAGGGTTCCATGTCTCTTCCTAGGAACTGTACCTACTCTCAAGGCTTCAATCACCATCGGCATAGAACATGCCCTTATCCCTGTATTTCTAGCTCACACCTCTTTCCTTAGGCACTAGACGAGTATCTCCTAAAGTGTACAGAGTGTTTTCCCTTCATATTCCATCAGTACTACAAAGCCAACATGAGCAAATCTGAATTTAGGCTGCCTGGACAGGTGAAGAAATCCCAGCAGCCACCCCCAGATGCTTGAAGGATGAAGGAGAAGGTATGTTCACATCAAGGGAAACTAGAGAGAGATCCATAGAAATGGGAGAGGCACGGACTAGCTAACGAACCTATGGAGTGCTCACAAAAGGACAAGTTAGGCTTAACACCTGCCAAGGTCAGAAGAAACCAATGGCAAATTGATGTCAGTCCTGTAAGAACTTCCTGCACTGAAATAGGGGAGGGAGAGAGGTGTAAAGGAGGGAAATAGATGAAAAACTCCATCATAACCCTCTTGTCCCCACCACAGGCTTCACATCTGAGTATCTCACAAGCAGGAATTGGAAAGAGGGATAAGCTTTATCTTTGAATGAATAATAGTAATTACTTAACAATGTTAGCAGAAAGGAGAGCAGAGGTAGAAGTAGAGTAAGAAGCAGAGGTAGAAGTAGACCAAGCCCTGGGAATTGAAAGCTTATATGAAATGAAAAGTTGGGAGATGCAGTGTGGAAGCCTCAAGAGGTGATGGCTATGTTGGATCAAAGTTATTGAAAGATCTTTTTTTTTTTTTTAATTATCTGAGAAATGTCAGACAAGTAAGTAACCCGAATGTGTCCTAGATTTCATGCAGGCACAAAAAAACCCTACCCCACAAAGTGCTCTGAATAGGAAATGAGTTTAAAGAGGAGAGAATAAAGGAAATTTCTGATGGATTTTTCCCAGTCCTGTTGGTTCAGCATTATGGACACATGATGTCATTCCCTGGCAAACTAGGCCAAATGTGTTACTTGGTTCTTTTACTAATCTCAGATTCTCCATGACGACTAAAGATAGAATTTCATCATCAATCATCTAACTGACATGAAGAATACACAGGACTGCCTGAACAATTTTGGACGTCTCCAAAGTTGCCATGGTCAAGGCAGTTCCCTCCCCTGTTATGACCCCTGCCCCTGCACTTTCTGCATCATCACAGCTGTCAGTTAACAGCTACTGCTGCCCTCTTTTCAACATAGCCACCACCTCCTGGGGCTTCTATATTGTATCACCCATCTCGTCATCTCACATAACTCTTCCATGCCCAGGGCTCAGTCTACTACCACTACCTCAAGTCTGACCTCTACTCACCTTTCTGCTAACATTCTGTACACAAGTCCTAAAGCACCTGCCATCACACATGATGAGGTGGGTGTAGTTTTCTGATAACATGCCTGCCCTAATCTCACCATTTCCCTCAGCTTCAGCCTTCTACCAGTCACTGCAATAATCCCAATCACATCCTCTTCCTTCACCAGGGTTCCAGCTCTTCTCACCAGATGGTCTCCTCCCCCTGCAACAGTGGGTCAGCACTGTTGGGCCCCAGTGGCTCTATAGGGTAAATATCAGATTGTGAACCACAGGGTAGGCCGCTTGAGTCCACCAGTCACTCCACCGGAAAAACATAAAGCTTTCTGCTCCCACAAACATTTACAGCCTATGAAACCCTACACAGGATCGATATGAACCAGAACCAAATCAGTGGCACTTAACAATAACTACTATGCACATGGAGTCCGGGAGTAGAGCTGTAGGAAAAGCACTGGACTGCTAACAACAAGGTTGGTGGTTCAAACCCATCAGCTGCAACTCAGAAACCTTATACAGTGTTGCTACGAGTCGAAACCAACTTGTCAGCACTTAACAACATGAACACTATGTAACTGTACCGTAATACAAGTGGAAATGCAAAATGAACAGACATAAGGATTGTCCTGAAGATGCTCAAGTCTAACATGAGAGATCTGTAAACTGTTAGAGCCAAAGGCATCTGACATAATTAACTGTATTTAATCCTCCCAAAGACAGGAATACATTCTGGATGAAAGAGTGATTAAAGATGACTTCTCAGAGGTGGTAAACTCTTGGCTTTGAAAGTGAAAGAATATCAAAAGAGTCTTATAAAAATGGAAGAATATACCATGCTCATGGATAGGAAGGCTTAACACTGAGAAAATGTCAATGCTCTCCAAAGCAATCTATAGATATAATGTAATCCCAATCCAGATTCCAATGCTATTCTTAAAGGCACAGAAAAACTGATCACTAATTTTATATGGAAATAAAAGAGACCTTGGATCAACAAAGCATTACTTAAACTGGAGGCCTCTCACTTTCTGATCTCAAAATCTACTACACAGTCTCAGTGATTAAAACAGCCTGGCGCTGGTGCGACAAAGGATACATAAATTAACGGAACAGAATTCAGAATCCAGAAATAAATTCATTCACAAAAAGTCAGCTTGTCTTTGACAAAGAGCCAAAACTCATTAAATGGGGAAGAGGTAGTCTCTTTAACAAATGGTGCTGGGAAAACTGTAAATCCATTTACAGAAAAATGAAACAAGACCCATATCTCACACCATACACAAAAACAAACTCATCTCACACCATACACAAAAACAAACTCAAAATGGATTAAAGACCTAACTATAAAATCTAGAATTATAAAGATCATCAATGAAGAATTAGGGAAAAAAAACTTAGAGGCCTTAATTTGTTATTGTTAAGTGGCATTGAGTTCTGACCCATAACGACCTGGTGTAGGGCTTCCAAGGAGCAGCTGTTGAGCTTGAACTGCCAACCTTGCAGTTCAAACGACTTTGCAGTCTGGTGCATTAACCCACAGTGCCACACCAGGATATTTGGTATAAATGCACTGTCAAACATAACTAAACTCATACAAACAGTAGAAGACAAAATAAATGACTGGGACCCTTAACAATTGGACACTTATGTACATCAAACCCACAGACTGGAAATTTTTTTTTGCAATGACCTATCATATGTATAGGGACTAATCTCTAAAATGTATGGAAAACTACAACACCTCTACAAGAAAAAAGACAATGCAATTTTAAAAAATGGGCAGAGTACTTATTTACCTTTGCTGCAAACACATCTATGAATGTGGTAGAGCATACAAAGTATAAAATGGGGAAAACTTCTTAGGTATCATTAAACATCTTAAGCCTGGGGGCTCACAACCAGAGTCTCAGTGGACACCATGCTCAAGTGGCATAACATAGTCCACAAAGACAATATTCTACATCCTACTTTGGTGAGTAGCATTTAGGATCTTAAAAGCTCATGAGCGACCATCTAAGGTGCAACTTTTGGTCTATGTGTGGAAGAAAGAAGAATGACAAACATTGAAGCTGCTTGGAATCAACTGGTCCAATGGAGCAATGGAGCAGGTCACCATGACTGTGAGGCCAAAAGAACTAGATGGTGCCCTCTACCACTACCAATTGCTTTGAATAGGACCACATTAGCAAGTTCCAGACAGAGTGGGAAAAAATGTGGAATAAAAGTCAATTATAAAAGACTGGGCTTACTTGTCAGAAAGAGACTGAAGAAACCCGAGACTAGAGATCTCGAGCACCCATTAGGTCTAGAGTAGAACTCACTCTTGTGGCCCAATTTTCAGCCAAGAATTACATAGGTTGGGACAAGGGACAACAAGACTAGCAAGGTATGCTCACCATGGAATGGTCCATCATTCAAAATCCAAAGGACAACATTTATCTCAGGACAAAGTTGAGAAGGGATGAGAAGGTAGTTGGAATGGAAATAGGAGCCACATGGAGGAAGTGGGATGACGGCTCCTGCATGGAAGGGATTGTAATCACTGCGATGAAACAAAGTGTATGACTTGTTGAATGTAAAACTGATGACCG